AACAATCGCATATAATGCTTATATGCAATATTTAAGGTTACATAAATAATCATGAAATTTTCTGTAATATTCATAAAATATTTAATAATATATGCACATAAAATAATAAATAAACTTTTTTATTAAATAAATAATAAATATCCTATTATATCTTATTTTTTTAGGATACTATTTCCAACATGGCAACTACTAGGCTTACGATTTCCACCTCTTGAACGAGGTTTATGCTTTTTATCATTGAGAGGCATGCGCCTCACTTAGGCCATATGGTCAAATTTAACGTGAGGCTATATTTGCACCACAAAATGTCTTTATTAATCCTCCAACCAAATTATAATTTCTATTTACTACATATTTATCTTGCATTAAAATTACATAAAATCTATTAACATTATCCCGGCGTTAACCATAAATAGAAATGGTATACTTTTCAAAGAAATAAAAAAACATTACGCCCACACTCACTATAATTAGAAGGTATTTTTCAAAAAAAAAAAAAAAAAACCCACATGTTAAAATGAACATTTTTTTTGCCACTCATAATTAATTTAATACATATACTTTATAGCATTCTAAAAATAAATATTTTTTATCATTAAAAATTTTATTTATTTAATAAAAAATTTATTTAATGCGTGAAGAATTTTGTGAAATATTAATAAAGAATCAAGTTTAATCATACATTGTTTGTAGGATGACATACTTGATGGTTTGATCAATTCTAATATAAAGATAGCTGATAAAAAAAAATACAATATAACGAGAATAATGTTTAAAAAAAATACAACATGCAATGGTATATAATAGTTTTATGTACGGTTTCGCTACTTATAATAACATTCAAAAGAACTATCATGCATATTAGCACCGGGGAAAAAAAACATATTCTAATGAAAACGTGTACAGACTCGCAATAATAATTGAAGGAAAAACAAAAAAAACAAAAAAAAAAAAAACTCAGAGATATTTATAACTAAATTTAAAGCCTATCATATTCACATAATGGAAAAAGAAGTAGTGTTTTTTTCTTACACGGTTTCATGATTAATAATTTAGTTATTCTTGAATTTCTTTTACGTGATTATTCATTTTTTTTAATAATCATTTCTCAGTTCATTATAATGGCTAGTGGTGCAAAGAAAAAGGATCCCGCTTGAAAACATGATACTCAAATTGAAGTGCCAAGACTAGGTGCAAAGAAAGGAATTAGTACGTCAAATCTATAAACTCCGCTCACAAACTGATAAATTGACACCTCGTTCACTTCGCGGATTTGAATTTTCAATTCGAGTTGAGATGTGACATTTTCTGAGAGCTTTTTACTATAGCAGAAAAAGTTAGAGTGACATTTTCTGAGAACTTTTTACTGTAGAAACCTAAAACTGAAAACTCGAATGGGTGAAATAAAAGATGATATATATTAGTATTAAGTGCAATTTTTTAATGTACAATTTTGTTGTTCTAATATGAGAAATTTGTGGAAATCAAGATCAGGACCCACCCCGTGGAAGATCTCGGAGCATATGAAGATCATTACTACAAACTGCTGCTAAAAAATGAGATTATCAACTAACAAAAAGATTTTGATTTTTCCTTCAAAAAACAATGAGATTATCAACTAATAAAAGAAATAGATTCTGCACCACAAAATGATTAACGAAGAAAGAAAACAAACGAGATAGTTAAATTGATACCATTGAGCATTCAAGAGACTCATGGCATTTTTAAATTTGATGACATTTTTAAATTTGAAGTTTAAGAGAAAGAAAAATTAAAAAGCAAAAATTGTTGGACTTCTGTAATGCCTCACTAGATCTTGAGCACTGTCTTTTTGGACTTGCCTTCTTTTTAATATAATCCGTGTTTTCTTCAAAATAAGCCAAAATTGTTTTCACTGTAGACTATTACTCGGATTGTCGAATTTAAAAGGAGGATCAATTCCAATTTAAATTGGAGTTGGTGATTTGAATGGTGCTCATTTAATTCTCTACTAAATATAAATTTGAATTTTGAGCTATTATCAAAATTGAATTATTTCGATCTAATTGCTGAACTGTTTTTCTCCCTAAACTAATCACACTCTCAAAATGACTGCCTACCCCACGCCTCTTTATTACATAACAAACCTGAAAAGACACATTTACTCTCATCACATGGCCTAGGGTATTCCGAGTTTTAAATTTGAATTGAAATATAACTTTATGTGAGAGTTTTTTACTGTAGTAAAATGGTTAGATGTGACTATTTTTTAAAACTTTTTACTCTAACAAAACTTAAATTTTAAACTCGAATCGGTAAAATAAACAGAGCCTAACACGAAAATAACAAATATGTAAAATAACAACCACATGCTTGACTAGCCTAAATTTATTCCCATCAGACACAAGAATTGAATCTCATTAGGTGGGACCCACTTTCCAAGTCATGTTTAGAATTGCTCTCATCGTAAACTTGTTAGTTATGACTACTATTGAAAGCTTCTAAGAAAGAAAGCAGTAAAGGTGAACTAATTTTTGCAAAAGTAAAGCTGCATAAGCAATACACATCAGATGTTGAAATAGTTCACAAGGTGGGAAGAGGGATTGCTAATACAACTTATTGCTAATACAATTTCTTTCTAATCTTTCCAAAAAAAATGATCCATTGATTTCCCACAATATCACAAAGCCTAAAATGTAAAATGTGCAGCAATAATCAGATCACGTAGGAAAGAGCTCCGTATTCATCTCTGGTTTAGGGTTCATTCTCCATTACAAATGAGACTTCAGAGGAAAAAAAAAAAAAAAAGACTACACTTTATAGCATTAAAACTCTTCAACAACGCCAAAAATAATCATCCCCCCTCTACCTCTCTAATACTTTATAAATTAAGATAAACATTTTCATTATTTGATTTCTTGAAATCTCATATGGCAAAAACTTTGAATCCACTCCGTTCAATTGCTATTAGTGCTAGAACTACGGGCAACGGATCTGCCCAAAGCCTGAAAATTTTCAAGCTCGACGGGCAAGACTCTATATCTGCATGTCCAAGTTCTAGGCCGCGCTCGGGCTCGGGCAACCCGAAAATCAACCAATAAAAAAGAAGCATGCCACCGTTGTAAGCCCATTGCCTGAAGCCCACCATATTGCCTGCCCGATTGTCCGCTGAGTGGCCCACCCGAATGCCCGTCCGAGTGAAGTGTTTGATTTAGTATAAATTTAAAACATAATAAACAACACTAATTCTTTGAATTGTTTTAATAGTGTGTGTTGATTTTAATCTTAATTATAGTTTTTATATAATTTTTACAATAAATAACTTAATAATTATTTATGTACAAATACAATTATTAAATAATATTATATATAATATATATACACAATATTATACAAAACTAAAAATTATATAAATATATAAATATATTTAATTTTCAGGCTTTTTTTGGACGGGCTCAGGCAGCCAAGATAAAGCCTGCGGCCCGTCCAAAGCAAATCTCAGGCTCGCGCGGGCGGGTTCAGGTACCAGCACAAATTCAATTTTTTTAGACAGTCACAAACGGTCCGTCTAAAATTTCAACACTAATTGCTATTGCTTCTAGCCATTTAATTGAATCACTCTTCTTTTTTCTTTTTTCTTTTTTTCTTATTGGAAAACTAAGCTCACTCGGGAATCCACAGATGACCTTCGGTGTTTGCGTGTGTGTTGAATTTCCTCTATTGAGAAATCGCCATCGCATTGCTCATCAACATGAATTCCCAACTTAGCCGTAAGATTGGAGTCTTGGTTTTATCCGTTGGGAATTCTTCCAGTTTTAATAATCTTATGTGCTCAACTTTTGTTTTGCTTTTTTTCCCTCTCATCAATCTATTCCTTTACTTAAAAAAAAAAAAAAAAAAAAAAAGGCAGTTTAAAGCAAAATACAGAGCAAGTTACGAAATCCTCCAGTGAAATGTTATTTTTAACCTTTGCATATTCCCAAATTACAAAAGTATATTTTCAAATTGTAGATCCCTTTGGGAAAAAAAAAAAAAAAAAAAAAAAAACCCCTCTTTTTTGACGCTACCTAAACAATAAATTTGAACAAAAAATCATGAAATTTTAGGGATTAATCTAAAGAAATACATTTTAAACTATTGAGAATACAAGGCATTGTAACACTTTACCCAAATTAGGAAGACTTTGTAATTATTAACGTTAATTCTACAAACGGTCCTTAAACTTGCTTCCAATGCCATTATAGTCCATGACTTTTAAAACGACTCAAACTTAACCTTAATTGATCTATTAGAGCTTTAATCCTCTCGGTAAGTTAAGTGTTATAAATAAAAAATAATAAAATTAAGGACTCGTTCATTTCGCGGATTCGAGTTTTCAATTCGAGTTGAGATATGACATTTTTTGAGAACTTTTCACTGTAACAGAAAAAATTAAATGTGACGTTTTCTGAGAGTTTTTCACTGTAGAAACCTAAAACTGAAAACTTGAATCGGTGAAATGAACGAGGCCTAAAAAAAAGACGACATACATGTGATGTTGATGGAAAATAACAATACCGACGAAATATATAATGTGCGAGTGATCTCAATCAAAAATAACACTACTAATAGAGAATCATCTTTATGTTGTATTATTTTTCACATCCAACTGACGATAGGACTAAAACTAAAACAAAAACAAACTAATAGTTTGAAGTTAAATTTAAACCATTCTAAAAATCAGGGATCCAAATGAGACTAGAAGTAAAGTTCAGAAACTATTCGTGAGATCAATTATAATTCTTATTATAATTAGTCTTTATGTTTTGATCTCCTCGTGATCTCCGTTGATAACATCAGGGTTTTCTTTCTTTGAGATTTTTCAGCTTACTTATCAAGTCATTGCTGTTGCCTTTTCCTTTATGAAGTTCTCTTGGTACATGTTTTTTATCAACTTTCTTGATAAAAGCTAACCGAATTCAAGAGGAGACACAGCAAAGAACATTTCTAAACCAATAGCCAAGTAAAAACACTTCTTAACATCGTGTCTGTAACGGCCATTAAACATAATCTAAAGTCACAACATTTTCAGCTCGACATTATGCCAAGGTTGCTTTTAAAACTGACAGCACTTTCAAGAACATAGATTTCCGAATTATGAGCTTCTATTTGCAATTTTTTTTTTTTTTTATATCAAGAAATCCCCCGAACTCACATTGTGAGCTCGAGTTTGAACTGGAGCCTTCCACCAAACCCTACAATATTTAGAAAGCAGGAAACCACGACTATATCATGTAGGTGCCCATGAGGTGGTTCGAAGCCTGGATTTGTGGGAGTAAACCAAGCCTGACCATTCCAACCAACACCTATGGTATTTGCAATTATTCTAAAAACTATAACAATAACAAATTCGCCTTTAAACCATTGTACCAACCAACCTTGGCGAACAAATTTTCTTACAATCCTTTAGACATGACCAATAATCTATCAGGAAATGAAACAATTTGATGTTACCTACACCAATTAGTCACCTGGAAAGGGTTATATGGAGAATTTGACGCCCTCATCATCAGCCGAAGAACCCTTGAAGAGTGCAAGCTTCCCTTTCTGCTCCAGTAGTTTCAAAGCTCGCATTAGAATCGTGCGATCGATGCCATGCAGATCTGCGGTGAAAAGGGAACAAGGCTTGTTAGCTCATCTCTTTGTCCATTGTAGTCCATTTCTTCCATTATCATTGCTTATTAGATGAGTGGAGTTTCATGAAAATCAGCTCTAAAACAGTTGCCAAAACAAGTGATCGAAAACAAAGACTATTATTTCCATTAATTGTGACAGTTAAAAATAGAGTTCAATTGCTGAAACGTGGTATCACTTCCTGTGACAATCCTAGCTCTGCGTCCGTCACTGTACCTAACTTTAACATATACTTACTGAAATTACTTAAAATTTGCGAAACCTTTTTCTATAAACCTTTAAATTAAACTACTCTTACTTTTTTAATAAAACATCTAAACTACTTTCTTTTCTTATAATTGAAATATAACTTGACATAGTGACATATTCATTTTACTTACATATTTCTTAAGTCATATCATTGCATACATAATTTCATATAAACATACACTTAAATTTCATACATACATAAACTTTGATCTCATATAAACATAACTTTTAACATAACTATCAGGATTTTATATCACTTCCCACATCATATACGTATCTCAGCCTATCTGTAGAACTATTGTACAAATAACATCTATTGGGAGTGTCTCACACTTCCCGTAAACATCAGTACAAAAGTACATCATGTCTGGTGAGAGTGGCTACCACTTCTCATATTACAACAAAAGTCAGAATAACGTCTAGTTAAAGTGTCAAACACTTCTCACTGTACAATAACAAAGTATACTAAGGTCTAGTGAAAGTGTCTACCACTTCTCACTGTACATCAAAAGAGCATTCTAAGGTCGAGTGAGAGTGTCTATCATTTCTCATTGTACATCAAAAGAGGTCTTATATAGAAGCAAGCCGTATCATGGAGGACTTCCTCGTCTACGATATTGTCCCCATCATCATCCTCGTTGTGGTCCTCTACTGGGAGAGGTGCATCAGGTGGGGGAGCTGGTATCCCCTCCCGTGGCTGCTAGGCTAACCCTATTGGCTGCATAAGTAGATTAGGCATGGCCTATATCTCAAATACAACATCCACTATTTAGTTTAAGTTCGGAATGAGTTGGTAGAGATCTACCACGTCTCTTATTAGTCTGGGGACTCCCCTGATGAATAAGCATAGATCCTCCGCACTAAGGTGGAATGGGCAACCCTGGACTAACTCATGCAGAAAACGGTGATGATATGTGCCATCGATTCACCAAGCTTGGCGCCCCATGTAAAAACATGCCTAAATAAGGTCTGGTACTGCTCATGTATGTTATATACTGGCTTAGGCATTGGAGGTGCTAGGGCTATCGCTACCCACTGTTAGAGATGGTGCTGAAATCGCTCACTCTATTTGCCTGGGTCAACTCGAAGGCTGCTCCAATATCAAAGCTGATATCCTACCATGCTACTCCACATCGTCACGCGCCATAGTCCATGTAAGTTAGTCTATTCTTTTAAAATAGAATTTGATTTTAATTTATATATGGAATCATATATACAGTATATGGCATCCTCTTCTAGACCATCATTAGACGGAGTCCCATATGACTCTTACATGGCACAGCTAGTTATAGTTTTCTGGAGCTCCAATCCGGGCGACTATGCTGGTGAGACTCATCCTAGGAGGACACGAGATTAAATAAAACAGATCTGGGCAATCTTTGAAGCTTGCGGAGTCCATAGAGGATATTGGACTATACTAGCCGCTATGCAGTTGATAGGAGAGGCTAGGGATTGGAGCATACTTCGAGTCAACCCCAGGAAAATAGAGTGGGAGCGATTTCAGCACCATCCCTAACAGTGGGCAGCGACAGCCCCAGCACCTCCAATGCCTCAGCCAGTATATAACATACATGAGCAGTACCAGACCTTCTTTAGGCAGGTTTTTACATGGGGCGCCGAGCTCAGTGAGTCGATGGCAGCATATCATCACTGCTTTCTGCATGAGTTAGTCCCGGGCTGCCCATTCCACCTTAATGCAGAGAATCTATGCTTCTTGTTCATCAGGGGAGTCCTTAGACTAATAAGAGATATGGTAGATCTCTACCAACTCATTCCGGACTTAAACTAAATAGTGGATGTAGCATTTGAGATAAAGGCCATGCATGATCCGCCTATGCAGCCGATAGGGTTGGCCCAGCAACCACGAGGGGGTACCAGCTCCCCCACCAGACACACCTCCCCCAATAAAGGACCACGACGAGGACGATGATGGGGACAAAGTTGTAGACGAGGAGTGGGACAGAGTCGTAGACAAGGAGTGGCAGTAGTTCCTTAGTTAGAGTCCTCCATGATACGGCTTGCTTCTATATAGGACCTCTGTTGATGTACAGTGACAAGTGATAAGCACTCACTAGTCGCTAGACCTTAGTATGCTCTCTTGATGTACAGTGAGAAGTGGTAGACACTCTCATTGGCCCTTAGTATGCTCTCTTGATGTACAGTGAGAAGTGTTAGTCTCACTAGACGTTATGCTGACTTTTGTTGTATTGTGAGAAGTGATAACCACTCTCACCCAGACATGATAGACTTTTGTACTGATGTATTACGGGAAGTGTGAGACACTCTCAACATATGTTATTTATACAGCAGTTCTACAGATAGGCTGAGATACATATATGATGAGGGAAGTGATATACACTCTCGATAGTTATGTTATAAGTTATGTTTATATGAGATCAAAGTTTATGTATATATAAAATCAGAGTGTATGTTTATATAAAATCATGTATGCAATGATATGACTTAAGAAATATGCAAGATGAATATGTGACTATGACAAGTTATATTTCAATTACAATAAAAGAAAGTAGTTTAGATATTTTATTAAAAAAGTAAGAGTAGTTTAATTTAAAGGTTCATAAAAATAAAAATAAAAATTAGAAAAAAAGTTCTGGAAATTTTAAGTAATTTCAGTAAGTATATGTTAAAATTAGTTACAGTGACGGCCCCAGAGCTAGGGTCATCACACTTCCACATTGCATATACCTCTTCAGGGAATATAACTTGGTCTGATATATTCTGTTTTCCAACATTTAGGAAGAAGCATGTAAAATTGACCTTTTCCTAATATGCTCAACTAGTAATTGAATATATTTGTACTGGGGGTTTCCTAAATCAGTTCTGACTTCTTAGATATACTTAAGCTTGGTAATATTTGCAGCTACAAAAATACCTGTTCCTCTTGATTCAATCCCCGAACGTATTTCCTCAACTGTCATAACTGTGTCCTCCAACCCATTATCTTTCACCTAATCATGTAAGAAAACAAATTTATTTTGAAGATTTAAGTATTACTAGGTTATAGCATCCAGTTTAATCATAAAACCTGCGTTAGATTTTACTCACAAAGTTAACAATAATGTCAGCCCACTCTTGAATCCGGTGCCAAAGAATAAGACATTTCCTGTGCCCTTTATCTAACCATTCTGCTCGGCCTGTTAACAAAGCAAAAAAGAACCAAACTGAAAACGAACAACTAAAAAAAAAAAGAAAAAAAACAAAGAAAAACCAAACGAAAAAGAAACTAATAAGAGACAGAAATAAAAAGTTGAGTAAAAAACAATAAACCTTCTGATACCAAGGCGGAGAGGAAAGCTTCCCTGGCCTCATGATTGAGAGATCCTGAACTATCCAAATTAGACGTAAGCGACTAAAACAGTAAGGCAAACACATTGCAAAGGACACTAACTTTAATGTTTGAACGGATATGACAGCCCTCTTTTCTTTCAACATTTTTGGTTTAGGAGATTGGAGAACAAGAGTGGAAAAATATATCTTCAGTTTGCCGTCCTAAAATGTGGGTACTGCAGTAAAAATTCCACAATTTCAAGGTTGAAACTTGAAATACGAGAATATACAATACGTTCATTTTAGACAACTTATAGGCTAACCTAGAGGAAAAGTTAATCCAAGCCAATTGATTCACCTTTGCCACTTGGTAATGTTGGAGGTCTAGTAGGTGCTCCTCTTTTTCTTTCTTTTCTTTTTCTTTTTTTGTTTTCTTAAAGGTGTTTACAATATACACCACCTAAGAAGAATATTATGAAATCCCTCAGAATTGAAAAGCCTATTATCATTAACACCCCAACAATATCAATTTCATAAACAATTGAATCTCAATTGTTCGATTCATAATGCAATAAATCCACCGAAATCAAGCCTGAATAACAGTTTACAGCAAATTTATTTTCCGTCAAAAGATGAAGCGCCCACATGTATCCAAATTGCCCAATTTCATTGCTTATCATACATTATGTGTCCGCTCTCAACCTTGTGTCCGTTCGTTCTTTCTGAACTAAAGCAGAGCACTGTAAATTTTTCTATAGCAAGATGGATATCTAAATAGATCAATTAGAAAGATCCTAACCGCTAACAAAACCCCGTAAAAAGGAAAATCTTGCATATTATTGGACAGGAAGACTATTCTACAAACTAAGACTAAGTACACAGCTTCCTTTTTAACACTTCCACTAGAAAAGATCCTGGTTAAACACAAGCATGTAAAATTATGTGATCATTCAATTGCAAGATCCAACGCTATAATTAGATGGAACTAAACAAGAAAATCAAACTTACTTTCAATTACGGGGTTTGAAAATAGAGGAAATTCTTCTTCCAATCCGATAACAAATATCTTTTGGAACCTGCAGTATTCCAGAATAAGTTCCTTCCAAAGCTGTATCTGCTTTTCACGTATATCCCTTACTGGCTGCAAACTGGGGAAAGTTTTCAAACACATGAGCCGGAAAAATTCCAAAGAAATCGGAATGAAAATGAAAGTAAAAGCGAAAATTTCGAATATGCATATGTTCTCCAGCCATAAACTTTAGTCTATTGATGAACTATCATTTTACAAGAAGCAATAAATTTAACATATACCATCCATTCCCTAAACAAACAAAAAAAAAAAAAAAAAAGAAACTGAATGCTACGATTTCTAAACAAAATACCCTCCAGCTAAACATAATTATATTCAAAGGATTAGAATTATTTCACCCTTTTTATCCTTTTTTTTTAATGTGATGTACTCAAAAACTAACAAAAATATGGAATAATAATAATAATAATAATAAAAGCAGAAGATTACGTGAAGTAAGGTGGGTAATTGAAGAAGTGGGGTAGCTTCAAATCACCCAATTTCTGCATGGCTTCAGTCCTCCTTCTGAACAAAAATAAAAAATAAATAAAAAACGGCATGTCAAAAACATGAGTTTTTTTTTTTTTTTTTTAGTAGAAGAAAGTATCTATTAACCAATAGATACAATCAATGGTGGAGGATATCCAACCATTAAAGTGTCTCTTTCTATCCAAAAAGCAAAGGATAAATCATGTATCATAAAAACAATACATACAAGATTTATCAAACTGCCTAGAAGAAGAAATAAGACATGAGGACAACCATCTGAGAATGAAAGCCAAATGCAAAACAAGCTTGAAAAATCAAAAAAAAATTAAAAATAATAATTGGGATATAAATAGTAAATTAATGGCATGATTAAGGAAAATAAATAGAAAAATATACTTATATTTTAAACCACAGTCAAATTTCCAGCGTACGTATTTGAAGGATTGTAATATTCAACCAAGGTTGATTTTTTATTTTAGGGATAAAATCATTTTCGTACCATGTATTATAGCGAAACATGCTCCTGGTACTTTGTGTTTTTTATAATATTAACATGGTACCTTAACGTTTTTAAAAACATTTTCTTAGTACCCTAAAGCTAATTTTTGGGACATATAATGTCCAAACCACCCTTCTTATCAATTAAATAGAAATCAGTATTTAAAAAAAAAAAAAATCTGAAAGATTTTACAACATTAAAATATTTAAAAGAAAATAACAAAATAAATAAGCTCATGATTTTTTTCTAGACCTATTAGTTTTTTATTGATTAAATATAAGGGTAATAAGGTTATTTTACATCTCAAAAATCAGCTTTAAGGTAACAAGAAGATGTTTTTAAAACGTCGAGGTACTGCTTTAATATTATCAAAAACACAAGGTACCAAGAGCATGTTTCACTATAACACAAGGTACTAAAATGATTTAATCCCTTTATTTTATTTTATTTTTTATTTTAGTAAGAGGGAGTAAGGAAGGAAGGCCTTCATTACCAACCTCTTTTTAGTACATAGCAAAGTAAAACACTTTTAGGAAATCAAAGACACTAAAAAACAGTGATAAAAATAAGACTAGTTGTAAATAAGAAATAAGAGCGGTTATTGACTTCTAAAATAGAAGTAACTGATGAAATGCAGTTATCCTAATAAGGGGGAATTTTTGAAAATGTTTCAGAATGAAACGGAGGGAAAACTTTTAATAACTGTGTCCAAAAGTAACTGTCCATATTAGCATAAATCTGCAAACATGATAATAGTAATAAGATTTAAAGTTAAAAAGAGATTAAACTATACATTTTTTTAAAGAATTATAAATATGAGAAAGAGTAACTTATGAAGAAACTCAAGTAATGTAGCATTTAGATCTAAATCATTAACTTTTATATTATTTAATGACAAGAACAAAACATAATCGTAAGAAGTTTTCATCATAATAACTATATATTATGAGTAAAACTTTAAGAATAGAACTATTGAAACACCCATAAGGGAGACTAGTGAAACTTAAGAGGAAAGAATATTACACTGACTAAAGAAGATTGTGATATGTGAGAAAAATATAAGTTGTAACAAACCAGAGAGAAAATCTAAGAGTAAATTATAACTATGATAAAACATAATGACGTATATTATTACATAGGGTTAAACAACAACATGTATAGCAGAATGTGCATCAATAGGAAAAAATCAAATAGGCAAAGGAACAAGCATAAAACCTTCGCATAATGCAACAAGTGCAGAAACTAACTAAAGAAACACCCATATAAACAAGGATAAACTCAAAGATATTCCAAGAAAAAAAAAATGCCATATGGTGGGAATAATTCGGATTACAGAAGAAGCTCCAACCCAATCTAGTTACCAAACAAAGAAAGGGGAAAACAATCATAATCTATACAAATCACCAAAAATCATTCACACAGTGCTTAATCCTAACACTAAATCTATAACATATTTTGGTCAGTATCGATACTACTATTATAGTATACACATAAATTAGTCAAGACAACTTAAAAGAAATTGTACAAGCTTACTACTTTCTAAAGTAACGGGATGATAATTAATACATTGTACTAAAACAATCAAATTATGCAAAGTAGTACCATACTCTAATTCAATTACCCAAAGAAAAAACAAATTTACATGAACAAACTTCTGAATGTCAAAACAAATTCTTAAAATAAAGCAAAATATGAAGAAGCGATGATAAAAAATACTTGTAAATCCATGAGATGAGACTCAAACCGAGAGGATCCAATTAGTGATAAACCACCACAAAGGTTATAAGAAAACGGTTACAAATGATTCAAATATAGAGGAATGTCAATGTTTTCAATTAAGGTTACATAATACACATAAAAGAGACAGAATTTGTTAGATTTCCCAAACAAACATATCGAAAGTTTCGATAGAATCAGAGAGAGACAGAGAGACCTTTTCGGAATAGAGGCAAGGAACGCAGGGACCAGAATGAGAGCAATCGAAGGTGGCGTTACTTCCAATTCCTCAGGGGGTTTCGAAACTCAGCAGAAATATACCCCCAATTCCTCCGATTTCATTTGTACCTGCCAAGGGAGTCAACGGAAAGTATTATTCCGAGATTAAAGACGACAACGAGCCCAAAAATAAAAAAATAAAAAAAATAAAAAATAAAAAAAACCTTAGTAACATGTCGAGCCGAGAATTTACAGGGACGACGAGAGAGAAAGAAAGGTAACCTGATAGAGAGTAGAAGGAAAACCGAATTGACGGAGACTTCTTGCGACGATGTCGAGAATCGACGGCGTGAACAGCAATAACGCGACGCCGATCGGAAATTTCTCGGCGGAGGAAATTTAAGAGAGGAAGCAAAGGGAAATCAGCTGTCGATATTTCTCGTTTATTTTCTCTCTTTTAACTTTGCTGTTTTTCTTTTGGATGAAATTGAATTTCATTTTCCTATTAAAAAAAAAAGAAATTGAATTTCATTCTTGCCCCATACCTAATTGACTTTTTATTTTTCACCCTGAATTTTGAAAACTTGTATATACACTTCCCCACTTAAACTTCAGTGACCCTAAATCCGTGCCTTATGTTACTAAACTAAACAAGTATATTTTTCATAACAGAAAACAAGTAAGATGCTATAATTAGTTAATAGTTATTATTTTTGGTTTTATATAGTTTGTTTTTACATATCATATTTGATGCTTTCTTCTCTCAAGGATATATTTTCCTCTCTTTTTTTTGTTTTCAAGAATTAAGGATTATTGATGTATTCAGGTCATGTTATTCTCTCTTTCGTTTTTTTTCTTTTTTATTTCTTAATGTCTTAACATATATACTCATGGTAAATTTACCTCCAAATTAACAGCAGTTGAACAGGAATTGAGGGAAGTTCGCAAAAGCCTAAACATAAATGAAGAAAATGTGAGTGCATTAAGAACCAAATCCTACGCCGACTTCTTCAACAAAGCTCAATTACTAGTAAACCAAGAGCAAACTCAAACCCAGATGAGAAAACAATCAGATAATTAATGATCTTCTTTAACGAGCTTCAAGGATACATCCCTGTTCTTCCACCATCTCATTTTTATCTAGATTTGTCTAGCAAATTTACTTTAAAAAATCGATTTTGGCCTCCCAAAATCTCTACCAAAGTAAGCCCAAATTGACCAAATCGACATTTAAAGAAAAAAAAAATCCCTTGACCAATTCGACAATCAGAGGATAAACAAAGGGTTTACAGAGCAGAGAAAAAAAATTTTGTACAGAATCTGGAAACCCAAATCGACATTCAAAACCACCAACACCAAATCGACATTCAAAACCCAAATTTCATCAAGCCATACACCAAATCGACATTTTAAAAAAAAGCTCAATCGAGTACTTACAGATGCAAAGATTGTGAGCTCCAGCCAGATCCAGTCTCAGCCAGCGACGAAATCTGGAAACCCTAACATGAGCAAGACCACCAACACCAAGAGAACAGAGATTTTGGGGACTCCGCCGCCGCCGATAATCGCAGGAGATAAACGGAGAGAAGGAGTCCGAGAGAGAGAAGAAAGATAAACGGAGGGAGAGAGCTTTAGCTGAGATAGCAAAGGCTGAGGCGAGAGAGCACGAGAGGAGGCTGAGGCTGAGAGTTTCAGGAGCGGCTGAGGCTGGGAGCACGAAGAGAGTTTCAAAATGATAGGTTTTCAAGGTTATTTTGAGAATAACCAAAATTTCATTAATGAAAGGCTTCATATTCCCGCACAATCTGAAATCAGAAGCAGCAAGTGAGCTGCTTCTGATTTAGCTTTTAGATTCTCTAAGAATCCATTTTTATGTGTTTACCAAACACATTTTTTAGCTTCAGCTGAAAAAAAAATTGATTTTGGCTTCTCAAAATCTCTACCAAACTAAGGCTTAGTTTGGTAGTGCTGTGGATTTAAAAAAAAAAATTACTTTTAACTGTGCTGAAAGAAGAAACAGCTATTATAATAAGGAGCTAAATGTTTGGTAAACTGTAATTATAGTAGCTGTGTTGTTTCTAAAATCAGTGTAATAACGTTTGATAAATTTTAATGTTGAATTGCTGTAGGTATGTGAAATGACCAAAATAGACATGGTTTGAAACTTAAATATATATAATTGTTTTTGGTATTTATAAATATTTATTTAACTTAAAAAACATAATGTTATGATTTTAAGTTTTTTAATAATAAATTTATGATAATTAATTCTTTTTTTTTTTTACATTTCTTTATTCACAATATAGTTACAACTAAAAGGAGCATTAGTGAGTAATCAATTTGTTAAACAAAAAAGTACATTCCATGTTCAAAAACTAACAGAGTCATTAAAAGAATTAAGTCATGTTCATTAAACTTATCGCAATTTGATCTCGCACTTCAATCATTTATTGTGATAGTGAAACTTCATCTTTTTCTACATTGTCCTCCAGTTGATTCTCTTCATAAGTGAAAACATCTAGATTATCCTCGACTTTTTGAAAATGTCGATCACGCTTATCATGCATCCTAATATAATTATGAAGCGCCATTGTTGCAATAAATATTTTTACTTGCTTCTTAAATGAATAATTAGGCATGTCTCTCAAAATTTTCCATTTTTTCTTCCAAACACCGAAAGTACGTTTAATGACACTTCAAAGAGAAGAATGTGCTTAGTTGAATACCTCTTTACTGCTTGTTGGTTGACGACCCATTCAAAATTATAGTAAATGGTATCGTTCTCTAAGGTCTAAAAAATACTTTGAATTGTGGATAGCCCGCGTCAACCATTCAACCATTTAATAACATAACAACAATTTTTATATCTCACTCTCATTCTTGTTGCTGAATTGCACCATTTTCTCAGCAACCAAACAAGAAAAAAGAAATTTTGATGGGAACCCATTTGGAGAATTTACCTTAAGAACATCGTGATTTGATGCAGAGGCCCAAGAAATGTTGATGAGAAGCCATGGCAGACAGAGAAAAGAGAGTAATATATGAGTCATATACATGTATATAGATTCAACATATCAAAATTCACAAAACTCAGATCAAAATTACAAACTCAGATTCGACAGAAGAGGAGTTCTATGGCGGCATTTAGTCGAACACTTGGAGTGATGTTAAGGTACGATAAACGGAAAAGTTGCAAATCGGAATTGAAGAGATCGTCGCGATGCCGGAATGTTGTCGGCGATTCTGAACGTTGGATTCGTAGCGGCGATGATAGAGAGAGGAAGGCCACACCCGAACGTCTCTGGCAAAAGCTGCATCAAAACTCAAAAAGATCAAAGAAGCAAAATCAAGAAATCAAAGCCGAAATCGAGGCATCAAAACTCAACAAAACCAAGGAAGCAAAATCATTTAAATCGCGGCATAAAAGTCAACAAAACTAGAAAGGGGAAATTGCGAAATCGCATCCGGAATCACGACAAAACCAGTCTTCTCCCTCTATTCTTCTCCGGTGATTCGCGGCAGAAATCTCCAACGAAGAACGACGGCGGCTCAACATCTCCGTTGCAGCTCGATATCTTCAGACGAAGAACGAGAAAAAGAGATCAATAGGGAGAGAGAGAGATAGAGAAACTCGGTGAAGGAAGAGACAGTAGGGTGAAAAGAGATGGAAAAAGAGTGAGGCGGCTGCGGAGTTTCTTTTGTTGTTTTTTTGAAAGTGGTGAATGGGAGTTTCAAGTGAGGGTTAAGAAACGAAACCCCTTCTTTACCGTTGGAAAAGAACATGGTCTCAAACGGCACCGACAACCGAATCTAAATGTTCAAACTAAAAATCACGCGGTTAGAGAGGCTTACCTCTTGATCTGATGACGAGAGACGGGCAGTTGAAGGAGGAGATGGGAGACCGGCAAATGGACAATCGCGTGGAGGAGAAACCAAACGAGCTCCGACAGGCCAACGAAGAGAGAGACCAGCGAACGGAGAGAGAGACCGGCGAACGGAGCCAGGGAAGATCGCTTCGAACGGAGAGGGGGGGAGAGGACTGAACTCTCAAAATTTTTTTCGCAGAGGAGGATGAGAGAGATAACAGAGAGGAGGAGAGTGGAGGAGATACCGAGATCTGAAATGAAAATGTGTTTCTGAGGTAGTAAATTTCAGATTTCATTGAGGATAAAATTGGAAATAAAAAATTTCATTAAACCCTCAAAATGGATTCCCGCATAAGTTGAAATCAGATTCAGCCTAAGGCTGATTCTGCTTTTAGCTTCAAATTAAGGGAAAATTATTCAAAAATCTGTTTCACCAAATAATTTTTTAAATTTTAACTGTCTTTATAAGTGCTTTTTCTCTCCTAAAATCAATACCAAACCCACCCTAAGCCTTTGTTATTTTTCCCATATTTTGAAAACTAATTGTAATTGTTAAAAGGAGTAAATTACAGTGCTACATTTAAACTTTCTGTTTTTTTCATAAAACAATCTACCTAAATTGCACCTCAAACTTTAAAATCAACAAAAATTGAAGTTCACTAGCTAACTAACATTATCAAATTGATGATTTGAGAAACAAGATTATTATGTGAAAGGCAAAACTCCTCATTTTCTAAATCGAGAATGTGTAAATCTCGTGTCGCGAACTATCAATTTGATAACGTCTATTAGCTATTGAACCTCAATTGTCATTGATATAATTTGTTAAAATCAAAAGTTTCGAGTGTATAGTGTAAAAAAGAAAATGAAACATTTAGCGTGCAACAATACAAATTACTCTTGTTAAAAATGTTACTAGGAAAAAAAAAGATTAGTGCAAGAATGATCGGTTTTAAGTTATTTTTTTATGTACATGGCTACAATTTTCTTATAGCGGGCAATGGTTAGGATTAGTAGTTTGGAGACCTATGTGTACAAAAACACCCTTGCGACCCAATTTCCCTTCTTTTCGGTGGCTATTCAGTTCCATGCGATAAACATATTTTCCAAATAATAGAACCTAAAGTGGCAAATTTGACTGGTCCCGGAGACTGTTACTGCGGACCCAATCTCAGCCCAAACCCTCGTGCCGCATTAGGCTAAGTTTTCGAGCCCAAAAGTGGTTTTGGGCCGAGAAGTATTTTTAATTTTCTTTTTTAAATTTACCTTATAAAGGAGTTGGCCATCTCGGGTGGTCCGAGCCCGCCAAGCTTTAGAGTATGTTTGATAAGAAAGAAAAGTAGAAGGAATGAAGAAGATGGAGGAATTTTAGGATGGAAAATGAAAATGTAAATTATTTAATATGAGAAAAAAGAAAAATGAAGAGAAAATTGAGTGAAAAATAATACATGTGGGTCCCACTATTTTTTTTCTTTCCACAAGTGGGTAGAAAATGAGATGGAAAATGGGGATAACTCATTAAAGTGAGCAAAGTTACTAAATTACCCTTTTCTCCATCAACATCCAAGCAAAAAATTAAGGGTATAAAAGTAATTTACGAGTAAGATTTTTTCTTTCCTCCCAATTTAACTTCCCATACCAAACAAGTGAAGGTAAGCTCATTTTCTTTCTATCTTCTCATACCAAACAACATAAAAGAAAATCAATTTTCTTTTCATCATTGTTATTTTTCATCACTTTCATATTTTCTTTCTATCATATTTTCTTTCCTTCCTACCAAACATAGCATTAGAGTCATGTTAGGCGGACCATTCACCTTTTAGAGTTAGCCCAGCTCAAAAATCTCATTTGGGTTGTCGAACGGACGAGTCAAACTTTCATCTAATCTAATAGAACATGATTGAAAGGGAAGATAAATTCGACAGAGAAAAACAAAAATATATTGGATATTCAAATTTTGGAATCGTTTGAAGTTGTTATGAATTAACTCTCATATCCAAGATTTTAACGTGAATTAGAATGGAAAATGAAAGGGCTATAATTGAAAAGGTGAAATAATTATTAACCACTTAAATTTGAAAAAATGTGGACAAATATTTTGGAACGAGCCGCATCTAGGCCACCCAACTCAATTCCTAAAAAAAAAAAAAAAACTCTTTGTTAAAAATATGAAAATTAACAACAATATATTAGAAAATTTTAAATAACAAAATAGAAATATGTTTTTGTTATTTTTTAAGAATATTTTGGATCTTGACCTTAAAATTATAAATAAAAATTAAAACTGTAAATATGTGCCTTAAATAGTTTATTTTAATCATTATGCATCTTTACAATAATATTAGGAGAACGTTTGGTTCATAAATTTAAAACCATTATTTGAAATTATTCTCGTTTTACGTGTATTTTTATAAGAGAAAATACTATAATGAGTCACGAACTATAATTTAAAATCCTTCTTCTAAATGTCCCATAAATATAATTTATTGAACACTTAAAAATTCCTTATGGTACCGATCTTTTGAAGAAAAAAGAAAACAACAACAACCAACGCATGCTTTCTTATAATGACAAGAATTCTTACTAATGAGTTTTATAGTACCGCGTAAAATTTATGCGCTTGTTAAGTGTAACTAAATCTTTTATCAGTTTTTTCTAACGGCGATAGAATAAATCTCCTTTTACTTCACGTTCTCCTATTTTTAAGTAAACCTCTATCCAACTATGTTTTTAAGAATTTTTGGCAATTATCTTTTGGTGATATTTTTCACCTTCAAACAAATTCCCTTATTAAGGTTGAGTTAGAATAATCTTGTGGAACGCAATAAAAGTTTCACAGTTTAATACTCCTTTCCCTAAGTTACTATTTGTCACTTAAAATATATTACGACTCTGCAGAAGATTATCATTACCAAACCCAACCATGCTATTTAAAGGACCCAAGCTAAAAGAATTCCACTAGAATATAAATGCTATAGCTCAATGTAGATTCTGTTATTTCTATGCAATTGGAGTTGGAGCTATTATAAGAGATTTACTGAATTTGTTATGACAGCTTTGGTTAAAAAGTTAGATGGTGCTTTCGCGGCTTGTGAGATGTAGATGCGTTTAGTTCATGGATTATAACCATGAAATTAGAATTAATTTCGATTTGCGTGTATTTCTTGTGAGAAAAAATACTGTAGCGAACCATGAACCATGATTCGAATCAGAGAATGAATTATCCAACCAAACGGGCTCTAAGTTAAGCTTTTTATTTAAGTTTGGTTTGCACTAAGCATGTGGGACTAAATCTTATAAAGTACAATCTAATGCATTGTTAATGGTTTAAGCTCTGAAAATTATGTATTTGTTGTTTGTGCAATATATCTAGCTTATTATTTTGTTTAGCTATTTTTTGGTGGCAAATAATGCGGCTCATTTTTTATTTTTTTAATATAGATGATGAGCTCATTCAATTAAAAGAATCTTCTTCCCTTATAGAAATTGCTATTGCACATTTAATGGTTTTTGATTAAAAAAAGAGAAAAAAAATAATTCTGATTAATAACACAAACGAACACATTTATTTATAATAATATTGGACGACAATTTTTTTCCCTTATCGTTTCCATCGTTTAAAAATAAAAAATTATCACAAATGAGTCGATGAATACTTTATTTATTTTACTGATTCAAATTTAAAATTTAAAATTTATTATTATAAAAATATTTTAAAAACAATCGTATTTAATTTTTTTATTATAATAAAAGACGTTTATATAAAATTATATACGAATTGAAATTAAAAACTCGGAGAATTAAACCGTCCAAAGTAAGTTTTTTTTTTTTTCTATCATTTTAGAGGGCCATGTGGTCAGTTTTGACTATTGGTTATCATCATCATCATTATCATCATATTATATTATTGCTCTGAAAATCTGAATGGTGGGGATGTTATTTGGTTCTTGTCGTTGAACCTTGTTTTAATAATTAAGAGTGCAATTTTTGACTTAGATTGTGATGTCATTTGGCCGCACAAACCCGGCCTCCCCCTTTTGTGAAGTTGCTTCCTCTTTGGGTACGCTTAGATTCTCTTTTTACATTTCGATCTGCCGCTAAATCTGTGAGATTTCAAGTGTTTTCTTTTCTCTTGTAGCGTTGAGATTTCTGCATTCTTTACATAGACAATAAACCAAAAAAAAACCTATTTTGATTGAGTTTAAGTATATTATTGTGTTTTTTGCTCAGTTATCTTTCTTAATTTTTAGCCACTGATTCAGTCTGACTACGTTCTTCAACATGCAAGGATTACATGATTGTCAAAATTTTCTTGTCGTTTTCTCGGAGGAAAAAAAGTGAGTGAGGAATTTTTCTTAATTTAGCACAAATTATTCCTATTTTCCGCAAATGAATTGAATACAAAATAGTCAATGTAGAATTTAAATTCTGAATATTGAGTTCATAGCTGAGGATTTTGGATCTATAAACTCCATTTTATTGCTAGCCCACCATGTGTTCGATTAATTGCTTGAACCGCTTAATACTGTTTTTTCTCTTTTGGGCACCCAAAATAGCAGCTTTGTCCTTTATTGATTTGTTAATTTTACTGTTGACTTAACTTAGGTCTCGTTCATTTTACTGATTTGAGTTTTCAGTTCTAGGTTTCTACAGTTAAAAAATTTTCAGAAAATGTCACATTTAAGCTTGAATTAAAAATTCGAATCCGCAAAACGAACAAGGTAGTCGCTGTCTATTCAAATGGCGATGAACTATCCTTAAGCCTTATTGTCAGTATGATTTGGTTGCTTTGAGATGTAACTAAATGCTTTATATTGATGGAAATTATTAATCACTCGCCAAATCTATGCTTTCTCTTGTTCAGTTTATTTCTTAGTTATTTCTGTTCCAAATCGTCTCCATAATTCAGTTTAGAAAGAAGAATTTCTCCACAAGTACTGATTCTCTGTTTCTTTCCTTTTTTTTTTAGATATTGTTCTATATTCAGTCTGGACTTCAGTCCAATGGTTTTGTTGTTCTGGGTGCAGATTATATGATGGACAAAATTGGTGGTGACAGGACCAGCCAACTGTATGGAGGATTGCTTACTTTTTTAAGGAAATGCTTGTTTAAGGTTATGTCTGTTGGTCCAATTCCGAATCACATTGCCTTCATCATGGATGGCAACCGAAGGTACGCCAAGAAACAAAACTCCGGTGAAGGAGCTGGACACAGAGCTGGATACTCCTCTCTCATGTCCTTGCTTAGGTACTGCTACGAGTTGGGGGTGAAGTATGTGACGGTATACGCCTTCAGCATCGACAATTTCAGGAGGCGGCCTGAAGAGGTTAAATACGTGATGGATCTGATGATAGAAAAGATTGAGGAGTTGCTTAAAGAAGAAAGCATTGTAGGCCAATATGGGATTAGAGTATATTTTATTGGTAACTTGAAACTTTTGAGCGAGCCTGTTAGGTTTGCCGCTGAGAAGGCCATGAAAGCTACTGCCAAGAACAACAAAGCTATTCTTCTAGTTTGTGTGGCCTATACTTCGTGTGATGAAATCATGCATGCTGTTCAAGAATCCTGCAAGCTTAAAAGAAAAGAAATCCAAATGCTTCTTGAAAGTCAGGTTAGAGGCGGTTCCACTGTAGGATTTCGACAGCAGAAGAAGATTAGTGATTTGGTTGTTCATGATATTCAAGAATCCTATGAAGACGGGCTACATGGATCTGAAGCCAGGCATCTTCTAGAAGGGTCCTATGAAGATAACTCGGATGATATTGCTAGAACTTGCGATTGTTTGATTGAAGAAGTTGAGGTGTGTGAGAAGGAAATGAAGGCTTCCTCCATAGAGTTGGTAGATGTAGAAAAGCATATGTACATGGCAGTAGCACCCGATCCAGACATCCTGATCCGAAGTTCCGGTGAAACCCGCCTCAGCAATTTCCTTCTTTGGCAGACTACCAATTGTTTATTGTACTCTCCTGCTGCTTTGTGGCCAGAGTTGGGTATGTGGCACTTGGTGTGGGCAGTTCTGAACTTCCAGCAAAGCTACCAGTATTTGGAGAAGAAAAGGAAAACGATGTGAGAGAAATAAATCTCTTGTACATAGCTGATGGCTACTACACGCAACATATAGAGAATAGGAATTGCTATAGGACCTGTTTAGTAAAGAGATTCAAATACAAGTTCAAGCTGTTCTGCTACAGTGTTTTTTGTCACAAAATTTAATTTTGATTCAAACCATTTGATTTGAACCCATGAACTAAACGAACCTTAAAATCCAAACAATGAAGTTGCTTAGCTATGAAGCACTACATTCTTAGAGATTTTTGCCATTCAATTTTGGGAGGTGCTTACTGCTTCATCATAAACAGAAAGGAATATATACAACACGGAATCATGACATGCATAGGGAAGGCATATTAAGTTTGTTATTCTATTTTGGATCAACCATGTGCCTATGATTGACTTAACAAAGAATTTTGGATCCATTAGGCATTAGGCATCAAGTCGAAATTGGGTTTTTAAAACTAAACTTCAAAGTCAGGTTTGAGCAATGCTAGCATTACTCTTTCTGACACTCTCTGCATTCACTGTTTGACACATGAATTTCACTATCATATTTTCTGTTTAAATAATAATATATCATATTAGAGGAGTCCACGTGTCAAACTAATGCAGAGGATGACAGGAAGAGTGATCTTAGCGGGCGCGTTTGGAACTCGTTCTAAAATGATTTTGTTTTTTGTATGAAAATGAAAATGAAAACGTTTTCAATCTCAGACGGAAATAATTTTTGAAAATGCGTTTAGTAGTTTTATCAAGAGATTGTTTTCAGCATAAAAAATCCATTAATGTCTCTCTCTATTTGCTCTAGAGAGGAGAAAACGAAAACAAAAAGTAAAAAATGATTAAAAGTTGTTTTTCATTTCTCTCTCATTTTACATTAAACAAAAAAAAAAATATTTCTGTTTTTTGTCTTTATTGCGCCAAACACCGTTTTAAAAACGTTTTCATTTTTTCTTTCTCGAAAAATGTGAAAAATAAAAACATGATCAAATTCAAACACGGCCCGCGTTTCTCCACTTGGTTTTGTTTACAATGTTTATTACTTCCATGGCTGAAATTTGAGGCATTCAACCCCATTCGGAAGTATGGCCAATCCTCATGACTGCTTTTCTCTTCTCTTCTCTTCTCTTTTTTGTTTTTGTTTTTTTTTTTTTTTTTTTGAAATGGCCAAAGCTCATGACCATGGATCATGATTTTTTTATTATGTTGTTGGAAGATGAATTGCAAGCATTACTATCAGAAAATATGATAACTTACATAATGTAGGTTGAAACTTGCGAACATCAAATGTTAGAGTTTTGTAAGTTATGGTAGACTTGCGAGTTTTAAAGAAGATACAGTAATTTGTGCATTTTAACTAGATACTTGTGAACTTTGAACATTGAAGTTGTAAGTTATGATAAATTTGTGAACACACAATGTGAAGGCACCATAGAAGGATATGCTTTAGTTGTACAGGTGACAAGTGACCTAACACGGCCATGCAAGGGCCATTCTCTTGTAGTTTGTTTGACCTTTATTTATTTATTTTAAAAATAGTAACACTAGTACAATTGTTGACCTAGAAAATTTGTACAGATTTGTTGATTAATTAGCAGGCTCCAGAGGGACAATTGTTGACCCAGAAAATTTGTACAGATTTGTAAGTGGAGGAAAATAACACAACACATTCGTATCGAATTTCACTATAGTCTATCTATGGACATTGTTGTCCTGATAATTCCAAAAGCTTTGCCCACCCCATTCATTTCACAAGGAAGTCACAATTCAATTATTTTTAAGAGTATTTTCTCTCACAAAAATCTAATTTTTTATTTTATCTTCAAACTTACGAAATTAAAATGAGTCTTTTGTTTGTCTGTGTATAGGTGGTCAAGTTTCCCTTCATGATATTGAATGGCTGACTATTTGCTGCCACTCAGAAATGGCTTATTGTTGTTGTTGATTTTATTATATTATTGTTGTTGTTGAATATGATGCAAAAATAAAAAAATAAATAAATAAATAAATAGTGTCCTCTATTATGTGGAAAAACGTTCTTGGTCTAGAAAGGCTATTGACCGTTAATTTTGTATATTTTTAATATCATACCGCGATTTAAAAAGTAAATTAGGCTGGATATCACTTTTAAAATTTAATTACTTACCAATACTACTTTCATATGTACAATAGGCTTTAAAGTTTTGACGGAAATGATAACAAGTCTCGAAAAGTAATATTTTAGAGGAGGCATTTTTTCATCAATCTCTCATAATGGTAAAATAATGGGGTTGCACTTGCTTTGGCCAGGGACTTCTTGTCATGATTGAATGATAATTGGATGTCTGCCTTACTCATGTGCTTGCCTGAGTGCGTTCTTTTAGACTTCTTCTCTTGATTGAATGGTGTTTCCATTTTCCTATAAAAAGGACAACAACAAAAAAATTATTAATAAGAAAATAAGTAAATTACATCATTGCACTTTAAATTATTCATTTTTTACATATTACACCCTAAATTTTTAATTTTAAAATGTAAAAATCCTCGCGGTTTGTTCTCATTTTCTGAACGGACCATAAAGATTATACGAAAATTGACATGTCGTTTCTGAAAGTGGCTAGTGTTATATAATGTTATTTCTGTCGTCTAAAAAATAACATGTCGTATTAAAAGGTTTCACATCGTTTGGACTTTGTGGAGTGTGTTGCCTGTACAATTGTTGATAGACTCTTTTAGATAGATTTGTTTTGGGGGTCATTTTTATCTCTAGTCCTGAAATTTAAATAAAAGTAATCATATGATTATCATATGCTCATATTAAATGAAAAACCTAGCATGTCTGTGTGATATATCTTTTGAAAATAACATAATTTTTCATGTTTTGCTTGCAGAGTGAAATTTCGCTGTGAATTATAACTTAAGATAATGACATTGAGAGGACGGGAATTTTTTTGTGCGTCATACTTGTAATGTCAGTAATTTGAATGTTTTCTTTCGTTTCCTTTTTTTTTTTTTTAAGAGCTTTCATTCTATACATCTAAAAAATCAAAAGGAGTCAATTGGATTCTAAAAAATCAAAAGCATTTACAAGAAAACTGCAATGACATTTATACAGGAATATTTCAGCATAACCAAATAAGATTTACTACTTAAATAGTTAAACCCAAGGGTTGGTGTGCCTCTCCACATTTTCTTCTGCAAAAAAAAAAAAAAAAAAAAAAAAAAAAAAAAAAAAGATTTTCAAAAAAAACAATGAAAATATTGCTTCTTTTGTGCTTCAACATTCTATTTCACATTATCTAACTACATCCATTTCCTTGTTCGTCCTCAATAAACTAATGAAAGTTGGAGAATATTAGACCTTTTAACTACTCTATGAAAGTAGTATGTAGTCGAGAAAAAAAAAAAAAGATGTAGTTCTCAAACAATGAAAATATTGCTTCTTTTGTGCTTCAACATTCTATTTCACATTATCTAACTACATCCATTTCCTTGTTCGTCCTCAATAAACTAATGAAAGTTGGAGAATATTAGACCTTTTAACTACTCTATGAAAGTAGTATGTAGTCGAGAAAAACGAGCCAAACATGGGATAAGTAGGATCTATGAAGCTGTTAGGCTAACCTAGGAAGGCCAACATATTCTTAAGCCATACAATGAAGAGCAAGGGATTTCGCTAAAACATTGGTGTCGATGACACTGAAGAAGTGATGTTTGATTGTAAGTCAATGTTGCTGTCTGTTCTCCTATATCAGCATTGAATTTCTTTAGCTTCTGCTTTAGAGTTTTTTCCTATCCTTGTTTTCACTCTTATCTCTTTCAAGCTTAGTGGTGATTTTCTCCTTGTTCTTCTTCCCTTGGTTCTGCATAAGGTCCATGGGGATAAAGCAAAAGTCCGAAAATTGACATGAAGGTTCTAAACTAGAAAGTTTACTATTTATCATTTTTGGACAGTAAAAAGGTCTTCCTAAATGTCACAGAACAATGGAGATGAAAAGGTACTATCATTCATGAACTTCGAAATTGATAAAACTTAAACTGAAAACGTCAACTTGTACACAGTTTCCTAAGGGGGAAAAAAATGTTTGTTCTCCTTAAAAAGTGAGTCAAGTGACCGTAGCATGTAAGTAACAAAGCAGGCCAAAAAGCCTCCAGCAATACTAGTGAGGGAAAACAAGGAATATTAGCCAAAAGAGAGACGTATTAGCATATACGTCACAAATCAACGTACACATGAAAAACAATTACCATATTTGAGCAGAACAATCCCACCCACCACAGGAGAAGCCAAGTAGAATAATTCAACCATGAGAGAAGCCATACGATATTATAATTCATAAAGCTCTTATTATTCAAGCAAAATATTTGTTGGATCATGAAATGATATCTTGTACCCCTATTTTTCAAAAAAATAAATAAATAAACATTGTCTAAGCAATAAGCATTACAAAAATCCTGAACATGCTTCATGATTTAAAATATAAAATCCTTGATAATAGTCCAGGACAAGATGTCATAATTAGCAGATAAAATAAGTTACTACATTGTGATCAATTAAAGATACCACTTAATACCTGATAAGAGTTACTAAATACCTTCTCAAACCTTATGCCGTGAATCTTTTTCAAGATGATTTGCATAACATGGATATGATCAGGCAAAACCCTTTCTGGATCATGTCCTTAAGAAGCTTGAAATGTATAAGTGACGATATCTAGACGTAAATCTCTTCGAATCATTTGATGAAAGATGGCACGAGCTTCTTGCATCCTTCCGTCTTTAGAAAGAGCATCCACTAGTATATTATCTGTAATTGCATCTGGGAAATAGCTTGATCCTTCATTTCCTCAGACAACTTGATTGCTTCACTCCATTGGCTTGAGTGGCACAATCCATATATTAAAGAGTTGTAAGTATGTATATTAGGTGAGATTCCATTGTCGAACATGTCGACTAGGAATATCTTAGCTCCATCCAAAGTACCAAATTTGCTTCTTCCAAACTATCAAATTTGCCTAATCCGTACATCAAAGACGTATAACAAACTACATTTGGAAGAACACCGCGGTTGATCATATCTTGAAACAAGTTCAAGGCCTCATCTATTCGTCCTTCTTTAAAGAGGTTGTCAATGATAAGACTAAAACAGTGCTGATTGGTTTAATCCTCTCATCATTATGCTATTCTCCGGCCTTACAAAACCCACTAGTGCCTTCCAAGTTTCTCGAGCGTTCCCTGCCAAGCCCATGAAGCAGAAGACTCAATGCATAAGCATCCGGTTGAAGCCCGCTTGCCAAAACAGAGAAGCCTAATTTCACCTTCTTCAAACGACAAAAGCACTTAATAACAATACTCAAAGCACTGACATCATAGCCTAAATCATCACAACCCGCATAAGTTCTTTGTACATAGGAAGGACAACAGTGGGATAGTGGTCCATCTTAGATAGCGCACCAAGCAATTGATTCAAAACCCAATAGAAGGCATGGGTCGCATTTGAATCATGGAATTGAAGTAATTCAATGCTCCGTCTAGGGTGTGGTTTTCAGATTCACACCGTGTTTGTGTTTGGACCAATTTCTCTGAACGGGAAAAGGAATCAATATACCCACTACCAGTAGCAAAAGAATAAAATTGGAATCTGAAAATCCCAAAGAGAGAAAAGATAGGAGAATTACCAGGAGCCCTTGAGGTCAGCATTTGGGTCTTCATCTTTAATTTCTTCTCTAATCTCACGAGCAAAATTTGGTCTCTCTCTCTCTCCCTCCCTCTCGACAACGCGTTTAATTGTCCAGTTTATTATTACTAAATCGCGCTGACATGATTTCTCTATCGTGAAAATCGTATGACAGTCGCGAATCGAAACCTCCGTAGGCGACGACTTTATGATCTCCAAAGGCGATTATAGAGAGCGCCAATTCGAGATCTGCGGCGGGCTTGCAGTAGTTGGCGGCGAAAATAGAGGGGGGTCACAGAGAGAGATAAATGATGGAGGAGGAACGGACTTTTTTCATATATAAACCCGTAAATCGTAACGAACAGCCGGTGCAAGTTTAACCCTCTTATTAAAATATATATATATATAAATAATTAATTTTTTTCTGTTATTTAATTGTTGGTTTTTTTATTTTATTTATTTAAATTTTATAAAAATTTAAAAAATAATTATATTTATTTTTTTATTAACAATAAAAATTATATTTTAAAATAAATTAAAATTTTAAATCAACGAATTAAACAGACGACTTAAAACCCCTTATTTGGATTCGGTAAAATTCAAAATTCTTCCCTCCCAAAAAAAAAAAACCCTCTCTATCCCACCGACTCATTCTCTCTTCTCCGAGACCCTGTCATCCCAACCACAACCTCTCGCGCCATCTAGACTGGTACGACCGCCTTCTTCATCACCGTCGACGCCTTTTGACGGTAAAGTGTTTTTTTTTCTGATTTGATGCAAGCCCTCACACCCAACCGTTTGTGGTCATCGTCGAGACCCTGAGCCCCATTTCCGACTGCCGCCGGCCTGCCCACAACACTCTTCGCTCCAACACCGCCCCTCTATCCTCTGTTCCGACCGTCCTCTGACAGCCTCGTCAAGTCTTATTTTTGGTTGGTAAGTTACCAAGCTATTGAGATTTATTTTTCAATACAAATGATACAAAAATGATGATTTGGTAATTTATATATTAAACCAATTTATTGAACTCTAATTATATAAAACCAATTTGCCGAACTCTTATCAAATTTATTTGCAAAATATATGTTGAATCAATTTAGTTTTTACTTGCTCTGAATATATTAAACCAACTAAAAACGACAAATGGATTCTCACATCACTTTGTTGCTAAAAACTGGAAGCATACAGATTAATAAACTCTTGATTCAAATAAAACCTTGATATTCTCAGTGGGAAAAAAATAAAGTAAAAAAGAAAGCTTGGTATATATGTTTCCATTCTATTAGCAGGTTTAGTGTCTCCTTATTCATGATTTCGCCTAAAAGGAAAGAGTGGGTAGCTAAGCTGATTATCGTGTTAAGTTCTTCTGCTATAAGATTTTTATTTTTCTGTATAAGGCTAAATGATTGAAGTGAAAGAAGTAGAAAACAAATTAGTTTTTATTAAGTTAGTCTAAGAATTTTATGTTGGAATATTTTTATGTGGACTTCCATGATTATAATAATTCACTTTGTAATTAATTAAAACATTTTATAGACAACTGTATTAATGTGAATTAACACATGTATGTATGTTTAATATCGGTCCATTATGGGATGAACACTTATTTTATTAACTCGCTTGAGGTAGATAAACTTTCTTTATCTCATAATATTTGATCAACCTATTGGACTAAATACCCTCTCCATTAAATATTGCTTAATGCCCTCAGGCCTATCTGGTTATATAATGAGCCACCCTTTTATTTTTGGTGGGGTGTGCTTGGGCTTATGCGTGGGGTGTGCTCGGGCGTGTGCATGCTGGGCTTTAAGGCTGTGGCCAAACGAACACCGAGAGGGAGAGACAGGGAGGAGTTCATGCTCCTCTTGCCCTTCTTCTTCCTTTTGCACTTTTGCAGGTCCGCTCACTTCCGGCCGGCCTATTGGCGGATTCTGGCGACCGTGGACGACGCCGCGTGCTGTTCACCGGAATAGAAATATGCTTAAATCCCCCAATAAGAGTTTTATGGCATTTTTGGATTTTTGACTAGATTATGATTTTTGATCTTATTTAGATTGTGTTTAGATCATTAAAATCTAGCCTTTTAAACTTTTACTCTTAACTTAATAAAAATTTCTGATAGTAGTCATTATATTCCAAAAACACAATTGGTCACATTGTTTCCTAGCTCTTAATTACTATCAGGGATGGATTTCTCTTCTGGCAAATGTTGGTCAGATTGTTTAATATCAAACTATAGCAGACATAAGATACATATTGCAAAAGTGAAAAAATGGGCAAGTTAATTGGGATTCATTCCATGACTAATATGCTAAGCAAACGCCAAACAGATGGTCAATTTAATGAGTAGCTCTTCAAATTACCCAATTTAATTTCTTGGGATCTCCATGGTACATAGCTATCAAATGTACTAGTGCATTGAATGTTTTCATATACTAATAATGTATATTCATTTGCTTCCATTGGAACTTTAATTTTATGCTTTTTTGGAAGCTGATTCAAGGATTTGTTGGTGTTTTTTTTTTAATGTTAATAATGGGTATTTATTTGCTTAATTGCTTCCAGTATACTAAGAAGATAGAGTTTCTTTGTGCATAGATGTTCTCTCTCATTACTAGTTCTATTACTTCCATCTGTGTGTATACTGTATGCTACCACTTCATTTTGTCTATTAGTTTCTAATATGCCCCGTTCTTCATTTTAATCTTTTTTTCCGGCTTCTTTCTCTAAAACTTTATTTTTTTTTTCAATTTTTTCCTGGGATTTTATATTTAGATTCTATATGCTTTTAAAAATAATACCGTAATTAAAACTTAAAACACGGATTACTATGCACATAGGATTCAGCTAGTTAATAATGTAATCAGGAAAAAAAATCTATGAGGATTAATTTTGGGATAATAAAAATTCAAAATATTATAGAAAAACTAATATATAACTGGGGGCATTTTTAGGGAAAAAAATTATATATATTGATAAAAATATATATATTAATAGAGAAAAATCATAAAGGTATTTCTATAAGTCATATTTAAAAATATGTCTTAAGAAAAAGACCATAAAAAGAAAATAAAAATAAAAAGTGATCGATGAAAACATGCGTCGTCTTGGTTGAAATTATGAAACAACATAAACAAATTTGTTATTTATATTTAAATAAACAAACATTTGAGAGAAATTATTTTAATAGAGGCAAATCAAAAGAAAAAAAATAAATGGTAGAAGCAAGTACAAAACTCTTCTCTATATGTGTGTGATAGAAATTAAACATACTTAAAAACATTAATATTTAAAATAGTAGATACACCAAATGCATGTTTCCATCAAGAGACATGTTTTGGCATATTAATATGTGTGTATAAGTATAACTTATTTATGAAAAAAAAATGATTGAGACAATTTTTTTAGAGAATTAGTTAGGCTGTATATGAGAAGGGAAAAACTTATCTCCATCAAAATCTCATAGTAGTTATAAAGTCTACATTTAATAAAGTACTATTGTAGAGCATGTAAAAAAATATTTAATTGAGGACACACTAAAAAAATCATGTAGTAGAGACAAATTAAAACAAGTATCTTGATGATATATGTCTCAAAATAAAAGATATGAAATTGTAAGGGAAACAAAGCAACAAAAAACAAAGGAAAAAAAAAAAGAAAAAGAAAAACAACAAAAGCAAGAAAATTGAATCGAAAGAAACTGAAACGAAACTTGGAGGGATAATGTTTAATCAAATAATATTTCAGAGCATGTAAATAATATCTAAAGTAAGAACATATTTCTTTAGTATAAAAAAAAGAAAATATTTGAAAACAAATGTTATACAATAAGAAGAAATTAAAACAAAAAATATTTCATACACATTTCAAAATTAATTAAATATAAGATTGTACAAAGGGAAGAAACAAGATTGTGTATGAGAAACAAAGCAAGGAAAAAAAAATGAAAAAACAAAGGAAATGAAAAAATAAAGACAAAAAAAAAAAGCAAAAATTGGAACAACAAGGAGCACCTTTGTCTTGATCAAAATCTCTCAACAGTTTTAAGGGCTACATTCAATAAATAATGTTTCAAAGGATTAAAAAAAATTAAGTGAGGACATATTTAGAAAAATATATATATATTACGTCATATAAACAAATTAGAAGGAACAAGTATTTTGATGAACACATCTCAAAATAAATGTATAAAACTTTAAGGGTGTGTTCATTTACATAACTCAAGTTATGATTTGGGTTGTGTATGTGAGAGAAAAACACTATAGTAAAAAAATTAAATTTAAATTTATATGAGAGAAAATATTGTAGTGATATGACTTAAGTTATGATTTAAGTCATGAAATGAACAATGCCTAAATGAAATAAAACAAGAACAATGAAGAAAAAGATAAAAGCTAGTAAAACCAAATAAATAAATAAAGCAACTGAAACAAAAGTCAAAGGTAACGCTTGGTAAAATAATATATTAGGATATATAAAAAAATATTTAAGTAAGGACATATTTAAAAGAAAAATTATTCTGTAACACGGATGAATTAAAAGGGAAAAGTATTTTGATAATAGACATTTCAAAATAAGAAGACAATAAAGAGTAAAATTAAAAGAAGAAGAAAAAAAGACAAAAGAAAAAAAGGGGGAAAAAAGGCTAAAACGAAACGATGAAGCACCAATTACAAATGAAATTCTAGTTAATGTTGGAAAATGAATTGCAAGCATTGATGCCGAAAATATGATAACTTGCAAATTATACATTGAAACTTGCGAACTTCAAATGTTAAAGTTGTATAAATTATGATAGATTTATGAATTTTAAAAAAGATATGATGATTTATGCATTTTAACTGTACTTATGAACTTTAAACATTAAAATTATAAGTTATGATAGATTTGTGAACAGATAACATAAAGGTACCATAAAAACCTTTATGTTGTGTTTAGAATAAGAATTTATGTCATGATTCAGATCATAATTCGTGACTTATTACAATATATTTTTTTAAAAAAATACATATAAATTAAAAATTATTTTAAATTATAATTCTGAATTAATCAACAAAACGTTCACCAGTCTTATAACTTACATGCTTTAGTTGTACAGGCATGTCAGGTGACAAGTGACCCAACACGATCATGCCGGGGCCATTCTCTTATAGCTTGCTTTAACCTTTATTTATTTATTTTAAAATATAGTAACGGTAGTATAATTGTTGACCTAAAAAATTTGTACAAATTTGTTGATAAATTAGCAGTCCCCAGATGGACCATTGGGACCTTGGAGGGTCATACACCTCAACTTTCCACCTCCAATCCAATCATACTTGACTCATTACTACAAAGAAAAGAAAAGAAAGCTTTTTATTTCTAATATGCATTACGTAAGAGCATTTTTAATACAGTCTTATAATTAGTGTGCCAAACTTTAAAATCAGTTATAATTAAGGTTAATTAGCATCAGTTATAATTAAGGTTAATAGCTAATGAATATTATTAAATTGACAGTTTAAGACACCAGATTTAAAAATGAAAGACAAAAATTTTCATTTTTCAAACTATGACAGGTGTAAATATCGTGTCTCGAACTATTAATTTGATAACGTCATCAACTGTTAGATTTCAATTAGACTATTTTCAAAGCTCGGTGATAAATTTACCAAAATTAAAAATTTAGAATGCAATATGTAAAAAAAAAATTAATAATTTCAGTGATCTTTCGTAGAGTTGATGGAGTTAATTTGTTTGTAACTTTTAAATGATTTTCTAATTTATGTTCCACGTTATAATAAATCAAATTATTCGTTTTTTGCATATTACACTGAATTTTTAATTTTGATAAAGTGCATCTTAAACTTTAAAATCAGTTATAATTAAGGTTAATAGCTAATGAATATTGTCAAATTGACAGTTCAAGACACGAGATTCAGAAATGAAAGACAAAAATTCTCATTTTTTAAATTATGTCACGTGTAAATCTCGTGTCTCAAACAATTAATTTAATAATGTCATCAGTTGTTAGATTTTAAAGACTATTTTCAAAGCTTAGTGATAAATTTACCAAAATTAAAAATTTAGAATTTAAGGTGTAAGTGCAATTTACTTGAAAAATAATGGTGACTTTATTAAAGCCGTGAGTGAGAGAGCAAGAATGTTGAAACAAAAGTTTGACTATCGTCACTGATCATCTTGCATATATGTTGAGTGTTATCAGTTATGTCGATACAAAGCATTCAAACAATAATTGTACAACAAAGAGACTTTGGTACAGTGATGGTTCTCGTGGGTTTTTCGTATTTGAAGTAATCCATTTTTTTTCATACATATATAATGTTCAACTTTAATAAAGCAAAGGCCAACAAGCCAACAAAAATAAATCTATTTTTTTGAAAAAAAAAAAAGTTGTACTAAAATGTATTTATGAAACTAAATTAAGTAAATGAAAGATTTTAAAATTATTTAGAATAAATAACAATTTATTATAAATAATTCATTTATAATTGATAAAAAATAATTTACATGGTAACACATCTTTATTTATGTTGAAAAAAAAAATCTTTTTATTAGTTGTAAAAAAAAATTTACTTAAAAAAAATCTTTTTTATAGTTGTAAATAAAACATTTACAAGTAAATTGTTATTTACTCTAAATAGTTTTAAAATATACTATTTACTTCAATTATTTCTTATAAGTCTGATATTTACTTCATTTTCCTTTTTTTATATGCAAAGAAATTTATTTGTTAATAATAAATTAAAAGAATGACTTCATTTATGGCTTGTTTAGTTTACACTTTTAGGTTAATTAGTTTAATTTTGAATTTAAATTTTATAAGAGAATCTATTGATAAAAAATTTTTTAATTCAAATTTTTATAGGAGAAAAATAGAATAACAGGATCAAAATCATAATTTTTAACGAAACCTGTGTGATTTGCATCAGGGTTCTAATTAAGATTTGGGGATTAATGGTAGAGGTGCACTTTTCGGTCCTGAAAGTACCGAAATACACATGTTTTTCAATTCAATCCATTAATGTGGATTTTTAATAATAAAATACACATATGTTTTCCTTTCAATTAAATCCAAAACCGTTTACTCCCCTCCGTCTCCAGCCAAACCCACCCACCCGTTCACTCCATTTCCGGCCAAAGCCACCTCGCAAGCCCAGCCCCCCTGTGATCTCTCTCTCCGTCGCACCAGCCTTCGAAAGAGAGTGCTTCGTCTTCTCCACTTGAACCTGACTCTGCAAATCTATTTCAACAAAAAAAAAATTTGAAATTCCCATCTCGTATCAAACTCCACAGAGAGCGATGGCCGTGTAAGATTCATTCATTCATTCATATCCAAAATCACAATCCCTTTTCAATTGAGATTTGATATTCGCAAATTGAAATGGAACTGTTTCGATGCAGGGTTGCTTCAGCTCCGGGGAAGGTTTTGATGACCGGGGGATATCTAATTCTGGAAAGACCCAATGCAGGGCTTGTTCTCAGCACCAACGCTCGCTTCTACGCCATTGTTAAACCTCTTTACCACCATCTCAGCCCCGATAGTTGGGCCTGGGTTAGTTTAACATTATCCCTCTTTTGTATTTTTTGGGAATTTTTTTTTATATTCATTTTCCAATAATTTTAGCGGCGGATCAAGAATCTACATAACATCTGGCAAAATTTTGACCTTTTTTGTCTCTTAGTTTCCTTTTTGTTGGATTTTGTATTTGTGGTGATTTTTGGTCTAATTTTGATGCTAGGTTGAATTTGGGATTATTTGCTATTTTATACCTGCATTTTAAGCTTATAGAAAATGTATGACATGCATTTTTTTTTTATGTTCTCAATATTATACTCTAATTTTAATTTGATATAAAATCTATTCACTAGTTTTCACCGCTTAAATAACGACTTTACTCTAAAAATTATCATCAACTTGTTCACTTCGTATCACATAAACCGGTAAAATTGTTATTTAAGGGGTGATGATCAGTATTTGATTGAGAAAAGGTACAAATTTGACATGAAATTAAGATCCAAGGGTACGATGTTCAGAACATTCAAAATACATGGTATATATTTTTAATAAGCTTAAAATGCAGGGTTATAAAATAGTAAATAACACGTTGTTGGTACACTTGTTTTGTTAAGAAATGTTGAAAGATTGTGTTTTGTGTTTAGGCATGGACTGATGTGAAATTGACGTCTCCTCAGCTTTCCAGAGAAAGCATGTATAAGCTGTCATTGAAAAATGTTACGCTTCAATGTGTCTCTTCAAGGCAAGTATTTTAGTGGGTTATGCCATGTATGTGTTTTAGAACTCAGAAATGACAAATTATTTGTGTACCATTTTGCTTCATCTATGCCTATACTTTGTCGTCACCATTTCAATAGTTCTGGGGTCATAAGGAGAGCCTTTCTAACCAAGTGCTAGCAATTGAAGAACTACATAGCGTGTTTGATTGACATTGTAGAACTTGTTTGGTAGGAGGGAAAGTGGAAGGATTTTAGGACCTATGGTTTTTTGTTAGGAGAGAAAAACAGAGGGAATTGATAGGTTGAGGGATTTCAAATCCTTCTATGAACCACAGTTTTTATATCTCTCAATATGGAGAGATTAGAGGAGGGAATCCATACCAAATACAAAAAGAGAAAGGTCCTTCCCTTTTCTCCATTTTTCTCACCTAGCTTATATGCGTTTCTTTCGTTCATGTTTTCTTTCCCTCCTACTAGACACAACAAGGTTAAGGTGTTAGTGACTATATTTGACTTCAAATTTCAGCGGGTCTGGAAACCCATTTGTTGAACAAGCAGTACAGTACTCTGTGGCAGCTGCACATGCAACATTTGACAAGGACAAGAAGGAAGCATTACAGAAACTATTATTGCAAGGTAATGTTAATTAATTAATTTACTTATTTTTATTTTTGTAGTTTTTCTTTTGAACAAGAAGATTTTCCAGAACTTCTAGAATCTGATGCTTCATCTGGATTAGCCATGCAGGTCTAGACATTACCATCTTAGGTAGCAACAATTTCTATTCGTATCGGAATCAGGTATCAGTCTTTTATTGTTCTGTTACTTATATTCCATATATTACATAGTTCTCCCTCATATAGAGATGAGGCTTTGATTTTGAGGAAGTGCCGCTAAACTGTGTATCTTTTAGTCTTTAACATTTGATCATAACTTTAAGTATAATTAAGATTTAGTGCAGCGCATTTTCATGAAATTGGAAAAAATCCAAAATTCACAATCTAAACGCGCACCCAAACAAGACAAAGAAAAAGAAAAATCACTAGATATCGACTAAGTATTTGGATTTCAACTTGCTATTAAAAATGTGAAGGTCCTCCGTCCTTATTCTGTAAATTTCAATATGAATTCCTGGTCCGTTGATGAGGTGTACTGGTCATAGATTGAAGCACGTGGACTCCCTTTGTTGCCCGAAGCATTAGCAACTCTTCCTCCTTTTGCATCAATTACCTTTAATTCTGAGGAATCAAGTGGAGAAAACTGCAAGCCAGAAGTTGCAAAAACCGGATTAGGTTCTTCTGCGGCTATGACAACTGCTGTAGTTGCTGCTTTGCTTCATTACCTTGGAGTTGTCAATCTTGCCTTGTTAAGTGATCAAAACCAAGTGAAGGACACCACAGATCTTGATGTGGTGCATATGATAGCTCAAACCGCTCACTGTGTTGCACAAGGAAAAGTTGGCAGTGGGTTTGATGTTAGTTCTGCTGTTTATGGTAGTCATCGTTACGTCCGTTTTTCCCCAGAAGTGATTTCTTCTGCTCAGGTCTCTTTCTATCTCCATAAAGACGTATTTCCGAATACTATCTACACATGTAGAATGTCATACCTTTAGAATGACATTGTATTTAAACTTTTTGTTATTCCATTGCAGGTTTCTGCAAAGGGCGCTCCACTGCAGGAAGTCATTCTTGAAATCCTAAAAGGAAAGTGGGACCACGAGAGGACTAAGTTTTGTTTGCCACCACTAATGACTCTTGTGAGAATACTTTTGATATTCGCCATTTATTTGTATTTGATGTGCTTATGCTGTATTATTCTTGATTGTTCATACATGATATACTGCTTTTTTCTCCTCTCCAAATCAGCTTTATTAGTTTGAACAACAGAATACTTTTAGCTAAGGATTGCTTGCTATATTTTGGATCTTATGATTTCTGTTTATTGCACCGATTTTAATCATATAATGCATAACTCAGGATTTTGGTTTGATCAATTCTGCAAGTGTATTAAGTGGTGTTGTCGGTGCAACAATTAAAATATACTCCAATATTTATGCTGTGATGTGCAAATACTAAAGGAAAATATAGATTGTATCGATGAATATTAACAAACAATTGCAAATCATTTTCGGCCTGCATCTTGTCGTAACTCCCTTAATTTATATAATAAACTGCTTATGTAGTTGTAAATGGTGCAAAACATTATCCACCCTAGGAGCTTGTGCGTACTTGGTAATGACAGCCTTTTGAGGTAAAAAGCATATTTAAGATCTAAAGAACAGAAGCTTGAGTTCCAGTGTCCTGATTCATCATGTTTCTTTTCGTTTTTTTTCTATTTGAAAAGAAATTTATGGTGCACTCGTTGAGGCTTTTGCAACAAAGATAGAAAGCTCGGGTTCTTTTAATTGATCATGGTGTTTTCACAGTTACTTGGAGAACCAGGAGCTGGAGGATCATTGACACCGTCAATGGTAGGTGCTGTCAAAAAATGGCAGAAGGCTGACCCTCAAAAAACGCAGGAAACATGGAGAAAGTTGTCAGAGGAAAATTTGGCACTTGAAACACAATTGAATACATTAAGCAAATTGGCAGAAAAGCACTTGGATGAATATAAGAGCCTAATAAACAGCTGCAGCATGCTTAAACCAGAGAAGGTATGAAACGAGCTAGCTTCTTAAGACCGTACTGGAAACAATAGAACTCAAATTTCTAGCTGATTTCATAGCCTTGGAATAGTTTCCATTTGTGGTCCTCTATCTCACAGGCTTTGGATTTTTGTTGTGTATTTTTATCATTATTATATTGCATGATCTTACTTTTCATTTTTTTGGTGCGAACTTTCTCCGATAGGCACCCAACTGGTAGTGCCAGATTCTAACCATTGGATTTGATCAAAATCACATCAGATTTAAAAAGTATGCAGAACGGATAGTTTCTGATACAAATCTAACGGCTAGAAATTAAAAAACTACCAGTAGTTTATTTTTTCTGCTCCTACCAGAGAAACTCCCCTTTTGGTGTTAGTTCATACTTTCTTATCTTTTCTGTTAGCGTCAAATTTATGATGTACGATTTTACAAAATGCTTGGACAGTGGATAGAGCAAGCCACTCAACAAAGTCAAGAGGCAATCGCCAAAGCATTAGTAGGAGCAAGAAATGCAATGCTTGGTATCAGGTATCATATGCGTCAAATGGGCAAGGCTGCAGGCGTTCCGGTATCTTCTCTCTTTTATTGGATGTTATTTTGTCATTTTGTTACCCTCGGGATTTTCACGTGTTTTTTCTCTCTTCTTTTCTCGCTTCTCTTTTTTACTTACAAAACACTCTTATTTCCTCGTGGTTATCTTGAAGTATGACTATTGAGTTCAGCAAAGTGGAACTCTGTTTCTAATAGATTTTATGGCTCTCAAAATTTGTAGATTGAACCAGAATCGCAAACACAACTTTTGGATGCAACAATGAATATGGAAGGAGTATTGTTGGCTGGAGTTCCTGGAGCAGGCGGGTTTGATGCAGTGTTTGCTGTTACCTTAGGGGACTCTAGCAACCACGTGATAAAATCATGGAGTTCACGGAACGTTCTGGCCATGTTGGTCAGAGAAGATCCTCGTGGAGTTTCTTTAGAGGGTGCTGATCCGCGAACCAGGGAGATTACTTCATCCATTTCCTCAATCCGTATCGAATAAGGAAATAAGCCTATGTTTGTCATTTGTGTTTGATAAGTTACGAGTATGACAATGTGGGGGTTTTCAAGATATCAAGAGTCGGATAAAAATCAGTTAAGTAAAAAAGGTGAGAAATTCATTCAAAATGAAAAAAGGGTGCGAAGTATTTTCCCCAAAGAGTTGAAGTTAGCTTTTACTCTTATTTCCATGAGTATTGTCCAATAAAGAAACTAGGCATTGTCAAATAAATTATAAACTGTCGCTGCAATTTTTTATGGGGTCATAATTAAATCTTCCCTGTGTTCTATCGAATTGTTGTTCCGCCCTATGTTTTTGAAATTCTATACTTATCGTCCGACATTTTACAAATTGTGTTGAGACCTCTTTGGAAGGTTTTTTTAGCGTGATATCTGGGGAGGTGATTTGTAAAGCATTTTATTTTAAGGTTTGCTGCAGCGCTTGGACAATTGTGGCTTTGAGGTGTATATAGGCATATGTTGCCTTCATAAATAATCTTATTGCATAGAACACCCCGTGGCAGATTGTAAAGGATTATGCGTGTGCCTAATGCCATAATATTTGGCAAAGGTAATTTATTGTTTAAGAACAATAATATAATCTTTCTTCAATACTAAGTTGTATATTGATCTACCAGTGCATATGAGAGAAGAAATTAACAGAAGATTAAAGGGAAAGAAAAATTCAATCATAAATCAGAACTTTGGAGAAGACAAGTAATTGATTTACCAGTAATCTCTACAAGAGCAAGTTCCATCTTTAAAATGGTGGAACTGATTACGATCTCTAACTGTAATTTCTCGTCCATAAATCACTGAAATAAATTTGGTATAAGTGTGACAGTCACTGCACATCCTGAGATTTCTAACTATTCTTACAGGAGATCCTTGAGAAGTATGTATGAGAGCAAAAGCAATTGCCAGCTTCTGACTGTGATATTTCAACCTCTCTCTCTTCTCCTCTTCATCCACATCAAGCAAAACTTGTGATGTGTCCGGGACATACCCGTCGAATCTCAGTTGCCATTCCATCTGGTGTATCATCTCATTTACACCATCACACTGCGGGTGTGACATGTCATGTGACACAAACTTGAAGACCTTTCTCTGCACCTCGACCATGCTGAACCCGGGCGTTTGGACCAGGCCCTTTGAAACCATTTCAGTCCGAACCCTAGCAAAGTCGTCCCACTTTTGTGCTTTTGCATACATGTTTGACAGCACGACGTAGTCACCAGGATTCCGAGAGTTAGATTGCATTAGGTTTCTAGCTGCAATTTCTCCTAGTTCCATGTCACCATGAATTCTACAAGCACTAAGAAGGCTTCTCCATATAACATCATTTGGCCTGATGGGCATGCTCTCAATGAGCTCAAAAGCTGCCCTAACCCACCCTGCTCTGCCGAGGAGATCCACCAGACAGCCATAATGCTGAACTGTTGGTTGAATCCCATGCTCAAATTTCATCCTGTTGAAGCACTGCAGACCCTCATCAACCAAGCCAGCATGACTACAAGCACTCAAAACACCCACATAGACAACGTCATCCGGCAGCAATCCTTCTTCGAGCATTTTGGAGAAAACCTCTAGAGCTTTCCTACCATGTCCATGCATCGCAAGCCCCGAGATAATCACAGAGAAGGACAATTGGTTCCTCTTGGCCATATTGTGGAAGAGACACAACCCTTTCTCTAAACATCCACATTTCACATACATATCTATCAAAGAAGTCTCTACAATCACATTGAATCCACTAAAGTTCCTCAACAAGGATCCATGTGTGCACCTTCCCATATCAAAAACACGCAAATGGGTGCAAGCAGAAAGCACACTAACCAATGTACTTTCTTCAGCTCTCCAACATCCTTCCCTGTTCATGTCCCCAAAAAGCACAAGACACTCCCACCACATCCCCAAACTAGCATGAGCAGCAATTATAGCACCCCATGAAGCAACACTCTTTTGATCCATTTGATCAAAAACGGCACAAGCAAGTTCTATTTTCCCACATTTTCCATACATGTTGATCAAACTATTCTGCACAAATAAATCACCTTGTAGCCCAAGCTTGGAAGTATGTCCATGAATTTGCATTCCTTCCTCAGTTGCTGATAACCTTGCACATGCCTTTAGTAGAACCGGGTAAGTGAAATTGTCAGGCTCAACTCCACTCTTTAGCATGTCAAAATAGAGAATCAAAGCTTGACCCCAATTCCCATCCTTGACATGTCCTCTCATCATGGTGTTGAACAAGAATGTTTGCGGTTCTTTGACGTGTCGGAAAATCGAGCAGGCGTAGTCCATGCTGCCCCAGTCGGAGAGAGCACAAGTGGCCACAAGATTGCCTGCACAAAAGGAATCCCCCAAAAGGCCGATCTTTAGGATTTGGACATGAATTTGCTTGAGTTCTCTCACGCTCTTGCATCTCTTCAACAATGAGAGACATTCTTGCTCCTTCAAACTCAGATGGAATTCTGGGCTTTGGATTGGCTCTTTGGCAGGCAACAAAAGATGGGTTTGGTTGAGGACAGATGTCCCAGTCATCCTGTCATCCACACCATCATTGCTAAGCTTCTTCAATTATGAAAAAACCCATCATTTCCTTTGCAACAACCACACAAATTTCTCTCTGAAAAAATAACCAAGTGAATTGAAAAAAAAAAAAAAATGGAAAATTGATCAGATGGGCAAAGAAGTGAGTAAATGCGAAGATTTTTATTTTATTTTATTTTTTTGGGCACTTATCTTCTCTTGTGAAATGACCCAGTTGGGAGTTCTAGTGAAACATGGGAAAGTAGTTTTGGAAAAGAATTTTCTGTGTAATATTTTGAATGTAAAATGAAGAATATTTCTGGGGAGAGTATGTTTTGGAGGAAGTGGAATCTCGTCCATGAGTTTGGGCAGAGAATTTCAACCAGTAGGAGATGCGTCGAGATTGTGGGACAGGCAGATTGTGGATAGGATAATGTCTGGGAACTGAGAGGAGTTATGGAGTACCGACGGACCACCAAGTCAGATTGCCGATTTGGTGGTCTTAGCCAATGAAGAGCAGCCACTTGAGTAAGCATTCCTATGCCACCAATGAAATTCCACCTTAGGAAAGATAACTTTTTTTTTTTTTTTTTTCGTGCTAAAGATATCTATTTGGCCAACTTTCACTTTATAATAATAATAATAATAATTAATAACAATAATAATGGGTCTGTCTATAATTCCACAAATTATAATTGCAGAAAACGCCAATAATAATAATAATAATAATAATAATAATGAAGTTTGGTTATTTACCTCATCACTTTTTAGGTGTAAATTGAGGTCTCGTTCAGTTCGTCAATTTGAATTTTTAATTTAAATTAAAATATGACTTTATGTAAAAGTTTTTAATTGTAATAAACAAGTTAGATGTAACTTTTTATGAGAGTTTTTAACTATAATAAAATTAGAATTAAAAATTTAAATCAGTGAAATGAACAATCTTTCCGTAAAAATGGTTTGTTTGAGTACAACTTTCTAATTCACCCAAATTGGACTGATCTCTCAAATAAAATTAAAAGGCTCTGACTTATTTTTTTAACTGCTTAAAAGTAAAAACATAAACTCTCCCAAACACACTTTATTAGATAAAAGGTAAATCACTAGTTTAATAATTAAGGAACATAACAACGTAGCGGAAAATATGGAGCTTACATTATGTTTTCTTGAGGGAGAAAATTGTTGAACTTATCATCAGAGTGCATAAGTCTAAAATTTTATTCATAATTCTTGATTAATATCATTTTGACTAATATAGTTATTTGACTAAAAAATGATATTAATAAGAGATAAAAATTCAACCCGTGAATTCTAAGAGATATTTGTCTTCTTTACCCTTAGTATTTAGATAATGCATGGAAAAGAATTTTTTTATTTTAAAAGAGCTTTTGAACATGTTTAGTAAATAAGTTAAAAGCTCTTATTGTTACAAAAAGTAATTTAATAAAAAAATATTGATGGAATTTTTAATTTGTTGTTTACAAATAAAAGGTTAAAAAGGTAAATAAAAAAGTTTGTTATAATCTCTTTTTTTATAAGCACGTAGGAGGTGATTTGTCCCAAAAGAGCTTATAAAAAGCAAAATATACATTTATATTGTCCATCTAAATAGTCTCAAAAGCAGTCTTTTTTTTTTTTAAACGGATAGGCTCTAAGAGAACTTGTATTTAACCTTTTCTTTTTTCTCACTTTTTCTAAAAGACGAAACAAAATTATTTAATTTATTTAACCAAGTAAAACTAGAAGTCTTCATCAAATCTACAAATCGGATCAATCTGTGATTCGGATTAATTCATTCAATCTAAATCAGATTAGATTTTAGATTGTTTGTGGATTAGATTACGAATCGAGCATTTTCTAAAGTGCATAATCCTTGAATCCAAACAATATACGTGTAGATTTATATAATATATATGTGTATATATATATTTATATATATTTCTAGATTTTTTTATTAAAGTTTGTTTGTTATAATAGATTGTAACACTACCATTTAGCCTATTGTCAAATACCTGAATTTAATTATGTTATAATAAATTGGATTATATTGAACTATTTTATCTTATAATATGTTAAATCTTAATTACTAATGATATAATGAATTTATAAGAATACTGCAAAAATGGGAAATGAGAGAAAGAGAAGCAAGAAAAAAAATAAAAAAATAAAAAAATAAAAAAGTGGTCTAAAATCAAGCTCAAACGTGGAGGATAGTAAGATAAAGTTCTCTAAATGTGGTTTCTCTCTTAGTCAGCCTAAATTTAACACTTGGCTTAGGGCTGGCAATCCGGGTAGCGACACGACGACACGACTCGAAACCCGCACGAAATTAGCGGGTTTGGGTTTATCATAAATAGGTCCGGGTCAAAATCAGGTCGAACCCGTGAAACACGATTAAATAACGTGTCATTTTCATGTTGACCTGCCAACCCGCAATTGACCCGCCATAACCTGTTTATTAAACGTGTCATATTTAGGTAACACGAATATACAACCCGTTTATTCCCGTTTATTACCCATTTTATAAACATGTTCAAAAATAGATTCAGAAATATGTTAACACGACCAATTTATCACCTATTTTATAAACAGGTTCAAAAGTATGTTCGGAAATAGGTTAACACGACCCATTTATCACCCATTTTATAAACGGGTTGACAGGTAATCAACGGGTTTACACGACACGTTTATGACATGTTTAATAAACGGGTTATTCGTGTCGTGGCGTGTCAACCCGGTAATATACAGGTCATGTTTGGGTTTTATATTTCGACACGATTATTAAACGGGTCGTGTTCGTGTCAGGCCTATTCGTGTCAACTAAGTGGGTCAACACGACACGAATACGACCCGCCAACCCGAATTGCCACTCCTAACTTGGCTCCATAGACTCTAAAGTATTTTTTCCGTTAATAAAAGTATAATTGAAAGAAAGAATAAAAGTCCAAAAAAATACAAGAACATGAAAGAATGAAAGAAAGAAAGAAAGAAAGAAGGAGAAGCAAGAAAAAAAAAACTTGTGAAAGTAATCCAAAATCAAGCTCGAACGTGAAAGATAGTAAGATACAAAGGGTGGTAATTCGTGTCAGTGGGTCGCGTTCGTATCATATATGTTTATCAATTGTGTTACAGAACATCAATTCAAACACGACTTATTTAATAAACACGTCAAAAATGTCAATCCAAGCACGACCTATTTATTAATTATATTAATCGTGTCAACTCGTGTAATCTATTTAAATTAATATATTTAATCAAATAAATAATTAATATAATTAGAATTTATTTAACACGATCATGATATGTTTAACAGTTTTAATGGTCAATTTATACTTTCTTTTAAGAAAACAAGCAAAATTTATCTAAAAATTTTGAAATTCATGTTATTGTATTTAATACATTATGTAAACTTTTCTATCATATCGTATTAAAATTAAATTACAAATGATAGTATTTGGGTCACTACATGTTAGAACGTCAACTCTCAACACGTTTATTAATCTTGTTAATTGTGTCAGCTCAATTATGATCCAAACTTATTTATAGTAAACTAAAACCCGCTAACTCTGTGCGAGTTTCGAGTCCTGTTGTCGTGTCATGACTCAAATTACTAACCCTTGTGGTTTTTCCTGATTCAGCTTAAATTTAATGCTTAGCTCCATGGACTCTAAAGTATTTTTTCAGTTAATAAAAGTATAATTAAAATAAAAAAAATCAAAAAGTGAAAAAGTAAGAAAACAAAAGCTCTGCATTAAGAGCAGTTGTGTGTAGTGTATTGTAAATTTTTAATACGAATTTGTATAAATCTAACTGTTAAAAAATTAATCTAACAATTAAAAATAAGAGTATCAATAGTGAGGTTTTTTTTTTTTTTTTTTTTTTGTAGATATCACAGTAAAAAATGCCATAAAAGAAAGAAAGAAGAAGAAGAAGAAAAAATGAGAAAGTTGTCTAAAATCAAGCTCCAACGTGGGGGATAGTAAGATACACTCCCATCACGAACTCTATAAATGCGGGCTTTGACTTAAACCAATAAGACGACAAGGTCAGACACCCACTCCACTTTATGAAGAAGAAATTCAGCTGTATTGATATGAATAATAGTTATACACTTGAGTTAAAATTATTACGTAAGGTAGTTAAAGTAATTGTTCATATTATAATTTTATTATATAAATGGTAACCGTAAATAGTAAATATTATATAAATAGTAATTATAAATAGTATTAATTTTTTTTTTATAAATAATGTTTTAAGACTCTTCATTTTATATACTTTTATAAGATTAATAAAATTCTATCTTTAATTTCTCTTTTTAAAATTTTTTTTCTTAATTTTATATTTTCTTAATTTTCATGTATAAAATTTTCTTGATTTTTTTTTTAAAAGAAACCATTTGTCCAGTGTTTATAATATGCATTACTATACTACATTTTAGTAGGTACGACAATTTATACTCATAATTAAAAAGAAAAGTAAATTACGTTCGACCGCTTTAGATTTACTTGAAATTACAAAAGAGTATTGAGCAAGTTTGATCTTTTAATTAACGCACATAAGGGTATGTCTCACAACTCAAGTTATAATTTGAGTTGTGTTTGTGATAGAAAAACATTGTAACAAAAAATTAAATTTATATTTTTGTGAGAGAAAACACTGTAATAATAAAACTTGAGTTGTGAAATGAACAAAGCCTAAGAAATTGACCTGTTTGTAAATACTTTTATTTAGAGAATATTTGTAAATAATTCTTTTAATCGAAAGTGTTTTTCACTATAATTTTAATAAAACTTAAGGATTGTCAATAATTTTTTCAATACATTAATTACAATAAGTTAATAACATTTTGTGAAAAGTATTATTTGTGAAGGGTAAAATGTTGGAGTCTCACATTGTCTAAATACAAACATAATCACAACCATATAAGGATATTAGACCACTCCATGTAAACAGTTAACCTTTTAAGATGAAAGTTCAATATCTTATAAAGTGTAATTCTTCTCCCTCACTTCTCTCCCCAAATTCTAATATTATTTGGTTGGCCTTATGGTTTTCTCACTTTATGTACCGACGTGAGAAATATAAAAATATATTTTCGGTTTTGACTCTACTTCCAAGGAATGATAAATTAATATACATAAATCTTATAGCTAAAATGGCTAGAAAGCTATTTTAGCTAGTAACTTTTAAAAAAAATTATTTTAAATATTTTATTAAATTCAAAATACAAATAATTTTATTAAATTTAGAAAAGAGTCTTTGCATTTATTACTGTTGAAAGAAGAAAATAATACTAAAAATGAAATAGTTAGCCACTGCATGCTGATTATATTTAGCTAGTGTGGAAGGCATTATCTAAAATAGATAACCATTTAGCTAATGGTTAGAGTAGAGAAAGGCTAAAAAAAAGCTAAATCATTATCCATTATAGTTAAAACATGAAATAGTTAGCATGGTTAAAGTTGGTCTAATTTTTTTAAAATCCTCCGCCAAAACCAAATTCTCAAAAAAA